TCCTCTTTTCGTTAAATTAATCCTTGATAACCTTCTCTTTAAACTCTTTCTTTAAATCCATTAAATCTTTTTATTTTTCTTTTTTTCTCTTTGATACTTTAGAGCATTATTTGTTGTGCTGTCCCTGTCCTCTTTTCGTTAATTTAATCCTTGATAATCCTCACTTGAAACTCCTTCTTTCAATCCATTAAATCTTTTTTTTCTTTTTTTCTCTTTAATCCTTTAGAGCAATATTTGTTGTGCTGCCCCTGTCCTCTTTTCGGTAAATTAATCCTTCGTTGAATCTTTTTATTTTTCTTTTTTTCTCTTTGATACTTTAGAGCATTATTTGTTCTGCTGCCCCTATCCTCTATTCGTCAAATTAATCCTTGATAATCCTCACTTGAAACTCCTTCTTTAAATCCATTAAATCTTTTTATTTTTCTTTTTTTCTCTTTGATACTTTAGAGCATTATTTGTTTTGCTGCCCCTGTCCTCTTTTCGTTAAGTTAATCCTTGATAATCCTCACTTGAAACTCCTTCTTTAAATCCATTAAAACTTTTTTTTCTTTTTTTCTCTTTGATACTTTAGAGCATTATTTGTTGTGCTGTCCCTGTCCTCTTTTCGTTAATTTAATCCTTGATAATCCTCACTTGAAACTCCTTCTTTCAATCCATTAAATCTTTTTTTTCTTTTTTTCTCTTTAATCCTTTAGAGAATTATTTTTTGTTCTGCCCTCGTCCTCTTTTCCTCAAATTAATCCTTGATTATCTTCTTTTGAAAGTCCTTCTTTAAATCCATTAAATCTTTTTATTTTTCTTTTTTTCTCTTTATTACTTTAGAGCATTATTTGTTGTTCTGCCCCTGTCCTCTTTTCGTTAAATTAATCCTTGATAATCCTCACTTGAAACTCCTTCTTTAAATCCATTAAATCTTTTTATTTTTCTTTTTTTCTCTTTAATACTTTAGAGCATTATTTGTTGTTCTGCCCCTGTCCTCTTTTCGTTAAATTAATCCTTGATAATCCTCACTTGAAACTCCTTCTTTAAATCCATTAAATCTTTTTATTTTTCTTTTTTTCTCTTTGATACTTTAGAGCATTATTTGTTGTGCTGCCCCTGCCCTTTTTTCGTTAAATTAATCCTTGATAATACCTCACTTGAAACTCCTTCTTTCAATCCATTAAATCTTTTTTTTTTTTTTTCTCTTTAATACTTTAGAGCATTATTTGTTGTTCTCCCCCTGTCCTCTTTTCGTTGAATTAATCCTTGATTATTTTCTCTTGAAACTCCTTATCAAATCTTGAAAATCAGTATAAGATTTTCGGTCTTAGTAAAGATTTGAAAGAGACCCAGCTACCGCATACATTGAAAGAAATTTCAAAAGGCAGATGTCTGACAACAGCATATCTTGCCTTGAGGTTGAGAATTGAAACTGACAAAAAGATATGTCAAAATTGAAATACGTTAAAAATCTTTCTAATTTGTAGCGATCGATTGCATTTAACGATGGCATTAGACAATATCATTAAAGTTCAAGCTTGTGGGTCAAAAAGTTTTTCATTCAAAGAAACTGCGTACTTTTTGACCTACTAAACAGGTATGAAAAATATTTGACGAGTACCAAAATTAACATCTACTTATCTTTATACTAGAATCTATAAAATTAATACCTAGTAACTCATTTATGTGACAGAAATATAAGATAATGATAAATTTTTAAAAAATTGAGTTTTTCTGTGGTTACAAGAGTCTAGATAAATTGTAGCTGTTGAATTCACATTCCAATTACACAGCTATCCAAATAATGAATGAAAGTTTTGTCACTATCGGAAAGGTACCAATTTTTAAATGTTTTTAAGGAAGATGTTAAAACACTAATCTTGGAAGACTAGTCCCATCTCTACAAATTCTTGTTTTGGCGAGGCTATAGAGTCCCTTCACCATATCTTCTCTTAGATAAGGAGGGGGGCTTCTTTCTCTTTAGAACATATGATTTCAACTCTTGGAACGATATACTGGTTTAGTAAGAGCGTTGTTGGTTCTTTTACTAATGATTTGTTTTAGATTATAAATATTTTAGATATATATATATATATTTGATGTACAATATATACAATTTCTCACCTCAATGTTTGCAGATGCAAAAAGTTAGGACAGATTGTTTATAATTGTCCAAAACACGAATTAACATTTAAACTATTACACAACTTTAATACAACAGCTCAATAAAGGGGATAAGCTAAAACATAGCAAATAGACAAGCCAGACTACAAAGCGAATGTAAACAAAATAGAAATATTAGCTGTTGTGCGTGAGTGCAAATATATCGTTGAATATATGGCCGATTAAGTGCAAACAAAATGTCGTCTTATAAGTTCATTATACTCTGTCACAATTTCGACAGATCGTTTACCCCACTCCTAAATTAAACATTAATCGATCTAGTAAGGGAGGTTTAGAACCATAAAGAGGTGTTTTAACTTGAGTTTTGTTGGATCTCAACTATTGTAGTTTTTCCACAGTCTGAGTTTTAGAGACACACGTGCTCTAGAGAAGCCAGAGGTTTAATGCACTGATCATCGAAACTGTAAAAGCATTCACTACGATTAGAGAAAATTATTGTTCTTTCTTAGTTTTATTCCCAATCTTGTTAGAAGAGCACAACACATTTAAATTCTGCTCCAAACGCACTCTTTTCGTTGGGTACAATAAGCCACTAACAAACTTACTTCTTCAATAGTTAGAGTACTAGCTTACATTTCACTGGAAGTTATTGGCATAAAAACTAAAAATGAAAATAAAATAAGATAGTTTTCGATTTATGTTCTGACGTTGTATACTCTGAAGAGTGTCAGACGAAAAGCTTCAGAAACATGTTTCAAAAGTTTGTCTTTTTCAAAGCCATTTTGGAAATGAAATATATAAATATAGCGAAATGATTGTTTCACAGAAAGGCTGTAGTGCTACATCAAATAATGTTATAAAACAATGATAAAAGAACATTTGGATATATCCTTCTTGTTTGACATTTTATTCGTCAATTATTCTACCAGAAAGATAACAAACTCTCATTTGACATTTTCTTTTCACGAAGTTATTTAATATATCAACATATATGTTTCCCAGGTGATAAATATTTCACTCATAAATAGCTAGCAAAATATAGTATCGCTGTTGATCTATGCATACAGACAAGAGAGCACTCTCTCATTATTTTGAAATAACATCTTATTCTTTTCTATAGGATTACACAGGCCTGCCCTTTCTATATGTATAATATCCTTATAGACAAACAAATTTTTTGATCACACAACATTTAAACACAATGACTCATTAATTATGAACCTTGATAATTTTTTTCCTTTCAGGCAAAACGTGCAAATATATCAACAGTCATTTTACCAGAAGGCAACAGAAAGGCTATGACGACTTGCAAAATTTCATAAAACAAAACTTGGAAAAGCATTTTGTTAGTAACTACGATAAGGTATACGAAATAGCACTGAATTATTCGGAAAGCAATGCAGAGCAAGACAACAGCTCGTAGAATTTTATATACTATTATTAGCTATTTACTTCCGATTTAATTCTATAAAACATTAAAGTTGGGTATTTTACAATCTTTAATGTAAATCTCAAAACCTGCCTATAACCTTCACCGAGTATATTTAGTATCAGCTTTAGATAATACCCTTGGAGAAGTATGTAATTAATCAAGAAAATAAGATTTGTAGGCAAAATAAACGGAAAAGAAGCCCAGTGTTTCTAATTTATCGATAAGCCGAATGTTATATTTTCCAGATTTTTTCTAGATCCGCGAAACCAGTTTCCTTTTTCAAATGCCAAAAATTCCAATTTTCGAAGTAAATTCTCCAAATAACAAGATGAATGCCCCTTGCAACACCCGGCAATGCGATAACGTTTCCATCTTTCAATCGGCTAGTCTTCCCTTTGTTCTTTCACTAGATCATTTTGCTTGAAGGAAAACAAAGGATTGAGTTGGGGCTACTCCATAGAAAATAAAAACTACAATGATTAAACAAGTGTGGATTATACACAGGTTTTTATGGTCCTCGTAATTATTTACAAGAATTACATCCCGCAGGTAGACTTTTTATCCATTAAGTAGATGGTATACAGTTAATCCGTACTTTATATGTGTATAAATTTCATCTGTATTAGCGAATGCGAGAGAAAAATATGAGTCTGACGAGCGAGGTCTGACGTCATCCTTGAGTGATTTCTCCGCAACTTTTATGCCTTGGCAACTTTTGATATCTCATTTTATCAAAATTTCATTCACAGGGTTTTTCTAAAAAATTTTAGATAGTTACAGCTACATCAAATTTATTCTTCCCCAACAATTTAACTTAAGGCAGTTCTTTGTCAACATGGATTCTTCTTCTCAATTTTTTAGTATTGTCAATTTTTGCGTCCGTACTAAATGTCGCCGTTTTCTTTATCTTTTTAGCTAGCTTTTTCTTTAAAATATAATTAGTGCCTCTGATTTTCCATATGGCCAAAAAGCAGTTGTTTGAAAACAGTAAAGATATCTGCTTTCGTCAACACGTATCGACGAAGGAGCTTTACTACCCAGAATGCTATTCGCCTTTCGTGTGATTAAAAACATGGCTTCGAAGAAAGTTGTTTTCGTCATAAGCGGCTCACGTGTTATAGTTATTCAAAGAAAATTTATATTTACTATGCGACAAGATGTTAGATAAATATATTGTAATGTTGAACAGTTAAAGGCCGAAGGTATGTCTTTGTTGCTACTGTTATTTTATAAACGCCATATGATGTTAGGCCAGCTTCTGATCAAGCCCTGTGGTGTTTTTAGCGCCGTCTTTTCTGTAAGTTATGTTCTAAAATTACATTGCATGCAATAACTAGAGAAAAAGAGAATTGGGATTATTTCATAGGATGTTGTTCGTGGGTGCTATGCCATGAAGTCACCAACCCAAGTTGCCACTCTCTAGAGAGTGGCAAATATTGATCGATGTGTCATATAGGGCTCTTGATTGCAATCTCTCAGATTTGTTTTTCAAAATTATTAAAACTCTTTCGAGTAAAAAACTCGTAAAGAGATTAATTTCTCAGGTTGAAAACAATAAAAAAGGAATTCTTTAAATTTAAAAATATTATTTACTTCAGAAGACACTTCCATTGGCATGTCACACTTTTATGTTCAGTGATGTTTTGTGTTTGTTCTTGTCTGTTGTTTGTGGCGTTTAGAATCATTTTGTTTTGCGTGTTATAGAGTGTTGAATAGACTTTAAGCAACAAGAAGGGCTATTTTCTAGTGGAAGTTTAGGAATTCTTATCTATCACTTTGTTATCTTAGGTTCTTAATCGATTTTTACCATTCTTCAAATCAGGTGTTGAGCCTTCACTTCCGCATTTGGCTGTTGGTGCCTTGATAAAAATCGATCAATAATCACATATAAAGCCCTAGACCAGAGATTCTTAATTATTTTAAATGCCGGGCCAGAAAAACATATAGAATTTCTTCGGGGGCCAGTTGGTTTTCAACTTTTACATACCTTGTGTAGGCTGCTCAAAATGAAACTCAGATCTTATTTTTACCAGGCTAAGTTAGTGTTAAAATAGACCCAAAAAATTAGTGTTAAGATAAGCCCAAAAAATAATTTTCACAAAGGTCTGTAACTTTATGTTTCTTGTACCAGGCTGAGTCAGGAAATCGTTCTATTCTATTTTTAGGCTAGAACGTTCATCGTCGTTAGTCTCTTGTTGGGTCGATTTGAAGTGCCTGAAGTCAGGTCAAGGGACTGCACAGCGTATTTTAAAGAAAGGCCAAAATCTTATGTTTGTGGATGTATTTAGTCAAGGCCACCACCATGGTTGGCGGCAAGAAAAATTTTAGGCTATATTAATCTAGGAATGGCCAGAAACAACACCTCAGTTAGATTTTAACGAGAGAAAATTCAAGGCATATTCTTGACTAGGTCCAATAGTTTCATCTGTAGATATGAAAAAGGAAACAAGGCATTTCCTATTTTGTTATTCCCTTTTGGACTAATAACTGTCCATGGAACGCATTTAAAATTTATTACAGAGAAAAAAAATATATCAGAGGGGACAAAGGAAAACCAAAGATAAATTGAATTCCAAATTTTGAAAATGTTGGCAAAAAATATTTTTGAGGTAAAATGTTTTCGGCAGGCAGGATGACATTTTGCTGTGGGCCAGAGATGATCCGCAGTTAAAGATATAACTTGATTGATTCAAGTAACAAGGCAGCTTATCCCCACCAGGGAGCTGATGCACCATCCTACCTTAGTTGCATAAAGTATGAGAGGGGAACAGAAACAAAACTTAAAGAGCCAAGTCTACCCTTAATGAAATCATAATAATCTGTTAATTGAATCCTGTTATGTGAATAAGCCCAAACCCCTATGAGGTAAAATTAAAGAGGATTTGAAGAAACACACTTTACTTTAAACCAGAAGGGGAGAGAGGGACAGGAGAAGAGAACAGCCTGGCAAGAGCATACATAAAAAACAAGAAGCCCTATCCAAAACACTTGCTTACACTCTCTGTAACAACTTTCACCCAAGAAAACCCAACTACAACTTCACCATTATTCCCAAAGGCATCAAAACAGCAAATTAAGGCTTAATAGCATAACTTTACACCTAAATTTGATTAATAAAATTGAAAGAAAATAAGAACCCTTAATGATTTCGAATTCTATAACATCTCTCATCAAAAAAGCTCTGATAGAATTTCATTTGCCCAGCATTTAATCTGCTCTGAAGGATTGCAGCTCAATGTAAGATGATTTCAAAAGTCACTATCTCATTTTTCTTTTGTAAGAAAAAAACACAACAATTTTCTAATTATACTTAAGTAAATGAAAATTTTATTTGGATATGAATGTAAAAGTGAATCAGCCTTTAAATGTAAAGGTTGATAACCATTACAATAAATTATTGAGCAAATATTCCAAGACCCCAACAGAATGGTTAAAAGTTTTGATATAAGATTTTTAAACACAGCATTGAAACTAAAAAAAATCAATGCCAGTTTGTGAAAGATTATATACTAAAATTTTGATGATCTACATGATATATAAATTCATGTCTAAATTTGTTTTATGTAGAGTCATGGATATTTGATTTCTGTGGTATTTTGTCTTGATGGGAAAACTTTGGAACCAAAAGCCAGGTAGTTAATTATGATATAGAATTTTGCCAAAAAATATAATTTAATGTATCTTTCAAATCTGATGTATCTTTCATCTAATGTAATCTTTCTTTCAAATCAAGTATTTTAAAAAGTATTTTAAAATGTGAAGCAAACTAAAAGAGCTACCAACAAATAAGGCTTTTTCCAGTGTATCATATGTTGTTTCCACCAAAGCTTAATATAATTTTCATTAAATAAATGCTGTCTTGATGATAGAAACAGCCCTCCTTGCACTCCTGCAAGCAATCAGATGCTTTGCAATTCACACTTACCATTCCTTGCTGTCTTCAAAAAGATTTTGCAATCTAAGGACATCAATATCATTTTTAATTTTCTATATTGTTTTAAATCTTGCTTAATTGATGCTCTGAATTTAGTCACTGTTCCTAAAAGAATGTTAATATTCTGTTTGGAAAACCTCCTTTTCTTTTGTGCCACAAAGATTTCATAAATTCATCTTTTAACTGAATGTATTTTGCCACAATGTTCTGTAGTTTTCCTTTGTAGACTTAGCCTTGAAAAGATTTTGCTCTTTAAAGCATAGCAAAGATGGAAACCAGATTATCTGTGATTAAATTGATCTTTTGATATCAGAGCCTATGTCAGCAGTGATTCGTTAGAGCATAATGGTCCAAGGAATTTTTCCAGCCGAAATGAGAATGATGACTTTATATTCACTCTTGTTGTAGTTATGTTTTTATACAATTCAGAGGACTTGGTCCTTAAATTTTTTTTAGGGCAAGCCCCTGAATCCCCTCCCTTCATCAATGCCCATTGTTTTTAATTTTTTGCTTCATTCATCATTCAAATGTTCCTCTGAATCAATTTTCATTAAATAGTTATAATTTTTGGCAGGATAAAAGTCCCTGACATCCCCAAATGAAACCACAAAGTTACCCACTTTCTTCTACTGTTATATAATTTCAAATCAAGAGTAGACAGTCTTGAATTCCTCACAAAAATGTCCTTTTTATAGATATTTAGGCCGAGATTGCCATTAATAAAATTTCAATAATAAAATTTCTTTTTCCATCAGATACTGATAGAGATTAGCCCACAAAATGAATATATTATAAAACTTTTCTTCCGTCTGCAGATAATTTGTCAACTAATTCTTTACTTCATTTATATAGCCTTTGATAAAGGGCGTGTCTGTGTGGATTTCTTATTTCGGCTCCCTCACTTCTGATCTGCTTCATACGTAGCTTGATGTAGGACACAGCTGCATAATGTTTGTGGATTTTAAGGCTTTGACTAAAATATTGAAAGTTTGGGAAAAATTTAGGCAATATCCTCACTTGTTTAATTTATCCAAATTCTTGCAAACTAAGCCTGCAATGTGATGCCAATCAAAGTCTAATGTAAATCATTATATATTTCTTTTAACTACTGTGACATTACCTTCACTGATGCTACTTTTGAAGATATCCTCTTAGCAACGACACTACCCTTCATTAGGAAAACCAATGTCAATTTTTTGGCAATTCAGTTTTGAAAACAAAATTTTGTTGCTTTTTAGAACGTTGAAAAAATGTTAACAATGAAACAGCCATCTAGGATGTCGATACTTTGATTGAAACGACTTTTTAATTTCAGACTTTCTCGATAACGTTCTCCAGATCTCTTTTAATGATAAACAGTTTGTTTGGTTTTCTTCAGTCCTTTAGGTCTTGCTTTTAGCTCTGGACTCTGTTCTTTTGGACAAAATTCCAGAAACTTTCATTTTCTTGAACCTTTATTGAAATATTTTTCAACCACTTCCAATGTTATTTTTTTGTTAAAATCCTAGGGCTCACAAATTCCTCTTCAGAGCTCCATCAATATAGCCAGTTGATGCTTTGAACACCTAGAAATTGGATATGAATGGGATCTGGACTAAAACCTTCATAAGAACTTGTATGACTTTTGCAGGTATGTCGGTTCCCTTTCCTTCAAATTCCAAACTTACAAACTTAAATAGCGTGGATCCTTGAGCTTTTTTTCTGAAGTGCAGACCTTTAATTCTGAAGTGCAAACCTTATACTTTCCAAGGAAAATTATTTTTTTCAAATTACCATTATATTTCAAAGTATAGTTTTTCCTTGAGAATTAAATTCTATTCATAACTTACTATGCGTTACTTTTGATGAAAAGTTTCTTACTGTTGTTAGCTTTGTAAAAATAATTCTCTAAAAACCTACTATATTTTTGTTTCCTTCCGCATGAATTTTTTTTTCTAACTTACTGCTGGTAGCTCTTTTGAAAAGCTTCTCTAAAAACCACTTTTATTTTTATTTCCTTGCGTATTAACATCGTTTATCACTTACTATAACTTACTCTGCTTTTGAGTTTCTCAAAAAGCCAACATGTCAATTTTTATTGCCAAGTTGCTGTAGAGAGCTTTGCGTTAGTGTTTCCCTAAAAGCCTTTGTTGTTTTTATTTTATTGCCTGTCAATTTTATTGCTACGTTGCTGTAGGGAGCTTTCCTTTAAAGTTTCTCTAAAATCTTTCGTTCTTATTATTTTCTTCCTTGCCAATTTTTACTGCAATGTTGGTGTAGGGAGCTTTGCTTTGATATTTCTCTAAAATCCTTCGTTCTCTTTAATTTTACTGCCTGCCAATTTTTCATGCTTGATATTTCTCTAAAATCCTTCGTTCTCTTTAATTTTACTGCCTGCCAATTTTTCATGCTACGTTGCTGTAGGGAGCTTTGCTTTAGAGTTTCTCTAAAATCCTTCGTTCTCTTTTTTGACTGTATGTCAATTTTTATTGCTATGTTCCTGTAGGGAGCTTTGCTTTAAAGTTTCCCTAAGATCCTTCATTCTCTTTATTTTACTGCCTGTTCATTCTTATTGCTACGTTCCTGTAGGGAGCTTTGCTTTAGAGTTTCTCTAAAATCCTTCTTTCTCGTTATTTTACTGCCTGTCAATTTTTATTGCTATGTTCCTATAAGGAGTTTTGCTTTGAAATTTCTCTAAAATCCTTCGTTCTCTTTATTTCATTGCCTGTCAATTTTTATTGTTACGTTCCTGTGGGGAGCTTTGCTAATGAGTTTCTCTAAAATTACTTCTTTCTCTTTATTTTACTGCCTGTTAATTTTTATTGCTATGTTCCTATAAGGAGCTTTCCTTTAGAGTTTCTCTAAAATCCTTCGTTCTCTTTATTTTACTGCCTGCCAATTTTTCGTTCTACATTCCTGTACAGAGCTTTGCTTTAGAATTTCTCTAAAATCCTTCCTTCTCTTTTTTTTACTGTATGTCAATTTTTAATGCTATGTTCCTGTAAGGAGCTTTGCTTTAGAATTTCCCTAAGACCCTTTTTGCTCGTTATTTTACTGCCTGTCAATTTTTATTGCTATGTTCCTATAAGGAGTTTTGCTTTGAAATTTCTCTAATATCCTTCGTTCTCTTTATTTCATTGCCTGTCAATTTTTATTGTTACGTTCCTGTAAGGAGCTTTGCTTTGGAGTTTCTCTAAAATCCTTCTTTCTCTTTATTTTACTGCCTGCCAATTTTTCATGCTACGTTGCTGTAGGGAGCTTTCCTTTAGAGTTTCTCTAAAATCCTTCGTTCTCATTATTTTACTGCCTACCAATTTTTCATGCTATGTTCCTGTACGGAGCTTTCCTTTAGAGTTTCTCTAAAATCCTTCGTTCTCTTTTTTTGACTGTATGTCAATTTTTATTGCTATGTTCCTGTAGGGAGCTTTGCTTTAGAATTTCCCCAACAGCCTTCGTTCTCTTTATTTTACTGCTTGCCAATTTTTCATGCTACGTTGCTGTAGGGAGCTTTGCTTTAGAGTTTCTCTAAAATCCTTTTTTCTCTTTATTTTACTGCCTGTCAATTTTTTTTGTTACGTTGCTGTAGGAAGCTTTGCTTTAGAGTTTCTCTAAAATCCCTTTTTCTCTTTATTCTACTGCCTGTCAATTCTTATTGCTACGTTCCTTTAGGGAGCTTTGCTTTAGAGTTTCTCTAAATTCCTTCTTTCTCGTTATTTTACTGCCTGTCAATTTTTATTGCAATGTTCCTATAAGGAGTTTTGCTTTGAAATTTCTCTAAAATCCTTGGTTCTCTTTCTTTTACTGCCTGCCAATTTTTCATTCTACATTCCTGTACGGAGCTTTGCTTTAGAGTTTCTCTAAAACTCTTCGTTCTCTTTATTTCATTGCCTGTCAATATTTATTGCTATGTTCCTGTAGGGAGCTTTGCTTTAGAATTTCCCCAAGAGCCTTCGTTCTCTTTATTTTACTGCTTGCCAATTTTTCATGCTACGTTGCTGTAGGGAGCTTTGCTTTAGAGTTTCTCTAAAATCCTTTTTTCTCTTTATTTTACTGCCTGTCAATTTTTTTTGTTACGTTGCTGTAGGAAGCTTTGCTTTAGAGTTTCTCTAAAATCCCTTTTTCTCTTTATTCTACTGCCTGTCAATTCTTATTGCTACGTTCCTTTAGGGAGCTTTGCTTTAGAGTTTCTCTAAATTCCTTCTTCTCTTTTTTTTACTGTATGTCAATTTTTAATGCTATGTTCCTGTAAGGAGCTTTGCTTTAGAATTTCCCTAAGACCCTTTTTGCTCGTTATTTTACTGCCTGTCAATTTTTATTGCTATGTTCCTATAAGGAGTTTTGCTTTGAAATTTCTCTAATATCCTTCGTTCTCTTTATTTCATTGCCTGTCAATTTTTATTGTTACGTTCCTGTAAGGAGCTTTGCTTTGGAGTTTCTCTAAAATCCTTCTTTCTCATTATTTTACTGCCTACCAATTTTTCATGCTATGTTCCTGTACGGAGCTTTGCTTTAGAGTTTCTCTAAAATCCTTCGTTCTCTTTTTTTGACTGTATGTCAATTTTTATTGCTATGTTCCTGTAGGGAGCTTTGCTTTAGAATTTCCCCAAGAGCCTTCGTTCTCTTTATTTTACTGCTTGCCAATTTTTCATGCTACGTTGCTGTAGGGAGCTTTGCTTTAGAGTTTCTCTAAAATCCTTTTTTCTCTTTATTCTACTGCCTGTCAATTTTTTTTGTTACGTTGCTGTAGGAAGCTTTGCTTTAGAGTTTCTCTAAAATCCTTTTTTCTCTTTATTTTACTGCCTGTCAATTTTTTTTGTTACGTTGCTGTAGGGGAGCTTTGCTTTAGAGTTTCTCTAAAATCCTTTTTTCTCTTTATTTTACTGCCTGTCAATTTTTTTTGTTACGTTGCTGTAGGAAGCTTTGCTTTAGAGTTTCTCTAAAATCCCTTTTTCTCTTTATTCTACTGCCTGTCAATTCTTATTGCTACGTTCCTTTAGGGAGCTTTGCTTTAGAGTTTCTCTAAATTCCTTCTTTCTCGTCATTTTACTGCCTGTCAATTTTTATTGCAATGTTCCTATAAGGAGTTTTGCTTTGAAATTTCTCTAAAATCCTTGGTTCTCTTTCTTTTACTGCCTGCCAATTTTTCATTCTACATTCCTGTACGGAGCTTTGCTTTAGAGTTTCTCTAAAACTCTTCGTTCTCTTTATTTCATTGCCTGTCAATATTTATTGCTATGTTCCTGTAGGGAGCTTTGCTTTAGAATTTCCCCAAGAGCCTTCGTTCTCTTTATTTTACTGCTTGCCAATTTTTCATGCTACGTTGCTGTAGGGAGCTTTGCTTTAGAGTTTCTCTAAAATCCTTTTTTCTCTTTATTTTACTGCCTGTCAATTTTTTTTGTTACGTTGCTGTAGGAAGCTTTGCTTTAGAGTTTCTCTAAAATCCTTCGTTCTCTTTATTTTACTGCCTGCCAATTTTTCGTTCTACATTCCTGTACAGAGCTTTGCTTTAGAATTTCTCTAAAATCCTTCCTTCTCTTTTTTTTACTGTATGTCAATTTTTAATGCTATGTTCCTGTAAGGAGCTTTGCTTTAGAATTTCCCTAAGACCCTTTTTGCTCGTTATTTTACTGCCTGTCAATTTTTATTGCTATGTTCCTATAAGGAGTTTTGCTTTGAAATTTCTCTAATATCCTTCGTTCTCTTTATTTCATTGCCTGTCAATTTTTATTGTTACGTTCCTGTAAGGAGCTTTGCTTTGGAGTTTCTCTAAAATCCTTCTTTCTCATTATTTTACTGCCTACCAATTTTTCATGCTATGTTCCTGTACGGAGCTTTGCTTTAGAGTTTCTCTAAAATCCTTCGTTCTCTTTTTTTCTGTTGTCAATTTTTATTGCTATGTTCCTGTAGGGAGCTTTGCTTTAGAATTTCCCCAAGAGCCTTCGTTCTCTTTATTTTACTGCTTGCCAATTTTTTTTGCTACGTTGCTGTAGGGAGCTTTGCTTTAGAGTTTCTCTAAAATCCTTTTTTCTCTTTATTTTACTGCCTGTCAATTTTTTTTGTTACGTTGCTGTAGGAAGCTTTGCTTTAGAGTTTCTCTAAAATCCCTTTTTCTCTTTATTCTACTGCCTGTCAATTCTTATTGCTACGTTCCTTTAGGGAGCTTTGCTTTAGAGTTTCTCTAAATTCCTTCTTTCTCGTTATTTTACTGCCTGTCAATTTTTATTGCAATGTTCCTATAAGGAGTTTTGCTTTGAAATTTCTCTAAAATCCTTGGTTCTCTTTCTTTTACTGCCTGCCAATTTTTCATTCTACATTCCTGTACGGAGCTTTGCTTTAGAGTTTCTCTAAAACTCTTCGTTCTCTTTATTTCATTGCCTGTCAATTTTTATTGCTATGTTCCTGTAGGGAGCTTTGCTTTAGAATTTCCCCAAGAGCCTTCGTTCTCTTTATTTTACTGCTTGCCAATTTTTCATGCTACGTTGCTGTAGGGAGCTTTGCTTTAGAGTTTCTCTAAAATCCTTCGTTCTCTTTATTTTACTGCCTGCCAATTTTTCATGCTAGGTTGCTGTAGGGAGCTTTGCTTTAGAGTTTCTCTAAAATCCTTCGTTCTCTTTATTTTACTGCCTGTCAGTTCTTATTGCTACGTTCCTGTAGGGAGCTTTGCTTTAGAGTTTCCTTAAGATCCTTCGTTGTTTTTATTTCAAGCCTGTATATTATTATTGCTACGTTGCTGTAGGAAGCTTTGCTTTAAAATTTCCCTAAGACCCTTCGTTCTCTTTATTTTACTGCCTGTTAATTTTTATTGGAATGTTCCTATGAGGAGCTTTTCTTTACACTTTCTCTAAAATCCTTCGTTCTCTTTCTTTTACTGTCTGCCAATTTTTCATGCTACGTTCCTGTACGGAGCTTTCCTTTAGAGTTTCTCTAAAATCCTTCGTTCTCTTTTTTTACTGTCTGTCAATTTTTATTGCTATGTTCCTGTAGGGAGCTTTGCTTTAGAATTTCCCTAAGACCCTTCGTTCTCTTTATTTTACTGCCTGCCAGTTTTTCATTCTACATTCCTTTACGGAGCTTTGCTTTAGAGTTTCTCTAAAATCCTTCGTTTTCTTTATTTCATTGCCTGTCAATTTTTTTGTTACGTTGCTGTAGGAAGCTTTGCTTTAGAGTTTCTCTAAATTCCTTCTTTCTCGTTATTTTACTGCCTGTCAATTTTTATTGCAATGTTCCTATAAGGAGTTTTGCTTTGAAATTTCTCTAAAATCCTTGGTTCTCTTTCTTTTACTGCCTGCCAATTTTTCATTCTACATTCCTGTACGGAGCTTTGCTTTAGAATTTCCCTAAGACCCTTCGTTCTCTTTATTTTACTGCCTGCCAATTTTTCATGCTAGGTTGCTGTAGCTATGGTTTCTCTAAAATCCCTCTTTCTCTTTATTTTACTGCCTGTCAATTCTTATTGCTACGTTCCTGTAGGGAGCTTTGCTTTAGAGTTTCTCTAAAATCCCTCTTTCTCTTTATTTTACTGCCTGTCAATTCTTATTGCTACGTTCCTGTAGGCAGCTTTGCTTTAGAGTTTCTCTAAAATCCTTCGTTCTCTTTATTTTACTGCCTGCCAATTTTTCATGCTAGGTTCCTGTAGGGAGCTTTGCTTTAGAGTTTCTCTAAAATCCTTCGTTCTCTTTTTTTACTGTATGTCAATTTTTATTGCTACGTTCCTGTAGGGAGCTTTGCTTTAGAGTTTCTCTAAAATCCTTCTTTCTCTTTATTTTCCTGCCTGTCAATTTTTTTTATTACGTTGCTGTAGGGAGCTTTGCTTTAGAGTTTCTCTAAAATCCTTCGTTCTCTTTTTTTACTGCCTGTCAGTTCTTATTGCTACGTTCCTGTAGGGAGCTTTGCTTTAGAGTTTCTCTAAAATCCTTCTTTCTCGTTTTTTTACTGTCGGTCAATTTTTATTACTTTATTCCTATAGGGAATTTTGCTTTGAAATTTCTCTAAAATCCTTCGTTCTTTTGATTTTACTGCCTGCCAATTTTTCATGCTACATTCCTGTACGGAGCTTTGCTTTAGAGTTTCTCTAAAATCCTTCTTTCTCTTTATTTTACTGCCTGTTAATTTTTATTGCTATGTTCCTATAAGGAGCTTTTCTTTAGAGTTTCTCTAAAATCCTTCGTTCTCTTTTTTTTACTGTCTGCCAATTTTTCATGCTACGTTGCTATAGGGAGATTTTCGTTAGAGTTTCTCTAAAATCCTTCGTTCTCTTTATTTTACTGCCTGTTCATTCTTATTGCTACGTTCCTGTAGGGAGCTTTGCTTTAGAGTTTCTCTAAAATCCTTCTTTCTCTTTATTTTCCTGCCTGTCAATTTTTTTTATTACGTTGCTGTTGGGAGCTTTGCTTTAGAGTTTCTCTAAAATCCTTCGTTCTCTTTTTTTACTGTATGTCAATTTTTATTGCTATGTTCCTGTAGGGAGCTTTGCTTTAGAATTTCCCTAAGACCCTTCGTTCTCTTTATTTTACTGCCTGCCAGTTTTTCATTCTACATTCCTTTACGGAGCTTTGCTTTAGAGTTTCTCTAAAATCCTTCGTTTTCTTTATTTCATTGCCTGTCAATTTTCTTTGTTACGTTGCTGTAGGGAGCTTTGTTTTAGAGTTTCTCTAAAATCCTTTGTTTTCTTTTTTTAACTGTCTGTAAATTTTTATTGCTACGTTGCAATAGGAAGATTTGCTTCAGAGTTTCTTTAAATTCTTTCTCTTTAGCATCTCTCTAGCAGCCTTGATACCCTCAGATGACAAAAATGCAATAGGCAGTTTATTAAAAATATATTTTTGCAGGGTATTAATCCATAGATTTCATGATTTCATTCAATTTTAATGCTGATGTCAACCTTCAGATAAAAATATTTTTGTATTGCATATTGACAGTTTCTTTTACCCTCAGTAAATCATGCTGTATTTTTTATTACAAATTGTTTACAGTTTATTATTATCATCGTTTTTTTATAAGGAGATAAATTTGCACTTTGGCAGTATCCAGAACGGCGTGCAATCTCCTTAAACCCCCAAAAGGATGAAATTTCCGCCATTCTCTGTTCACGTAAAAAATAACCAAAACCTTTGGTACCAAATGGATGTAGGAAATGCATGTTTTTTTGTCACCATTATATAAGCCTTTCTGGGTGGGTTATTAAACGTTCCTAGAAATATTCCATTTTCTCAAGCCTGCGAGTTGCTTTTTTTCGGTGAATAGCCCTTCCCTCTTCCCTGTCCCCTTTTGTGTAATAGGAAAAGCACCCCTTAACGTGGTATGTTTATCTTGAAACTCGAAATATTTATGTAATCCATTTCACTGAGGCTGCTCCCTGCTGACCACCTTCAAACAAAGGTGTATCCACAGAATAATGGGGTCGGGAGATTGCGCGAGAACGCTACAAAATTGATGCCTCTGAGGGATACAACAGATACAACTTGAATCCCGCACAACCAAATAGCCAATCACGTGCCAATACTCCTTTTAGGTCATTTTCGATCCACCAAAGTGCTCAATTTCTGACACAGTTTTCAAATGCTACATCAAAACTTATGCATCAAATAAACCTTTCATCGCAAAAAGACCACTGAGATATCACTAGAAAAACTTCCAAATGACTTCTAAGCTTTTTATTGAAGTTGCCAATTTTGATCGCGAAAAGCTTTTACTAAGGTTTTCGAACTTAGTTTTGCTTAAGACACAAAAAGCAAGCAGTCTCTGCAAGCCCCACTGTTTAAAACAAACCATGGTCTTCATAACATCAAATTCAGAACAAAAAATGCTTGAAATTTGTTCTAAAGCGCTTCGAATATTCAATGGAAGAACTTTGTGCTTGGAGGGGCGCCTTTGAAGGGGACTCAGCCGCCTTGAACCTAGGTTTCGTAAAAGGACTTCCTTCTTTTGAAGCAATGGAATGTTGTAAGGGGTAAGCACCTCAAAGAAACCAACAACACAGTCACCCTTTAGAACCATGTACGAAGGGATAAGACATTTCAGCTAAAAGTGACATTTTCATTAAATTTTCTAGGAAAAATGTTCGCTGTCGCAGATACCCAGTGGACACCGCAATAAAAGATGATGTCGATGCATCAGTAGAAAGAGGGAAACGCACATGAAGGAAAGGTTTACCACATGAACCAAGTCTCTATACAGAAATCCAATACAGACACTTTCCTTGTTTGTAATCGTTTAAAGATTTTGCAGCCACAAGAACGTTGCAGAAAATTCTATTCCGTATGGCATGTAAACTTGATTTCTCACGCTCAACCATGTAACATCTCTTTGTAACTTGTCCAGTGGCCTTTAGCTCCCGGATTGAATGCCCCCCTCACCCTTAAAGTGTTGCTTATGTGCCGCCTAACTACCGAAATTGTTCGGCCTAACTGCCCAAAATTAAGTAGGGTAACTCTGAACGGAAAGCTGCAATTTGGAGCCATCTATTGTCGGGAAATGTACAAAGAAGTCTCTAAGTTAACCATAAACACACCCTCTTCGATCGCGTGGAACATAGGTCGATGCAATATCCAGGGCAATCGCAAGGCAAGCCTTGATGAGGGGGGAGGTGTGGACAACAAATTTACCTGATTATTAAACAATTACCTGAAATTCTTAACATGCTGAAGCAAACCTCTGCAATACTTTTTGTCAATCTAACGGTGTGGCATATAATTCGCAATTTTCAATTTTTTATGATTATAACGGACTTTTATAATAGTTTTGTCAAATCTGTATATCGGGACGGGCAAGGATATACCTACCCGAGCCCGCACCATGGTTGCCGCCGAGGGACTAGAAATTTTTCGAATTTTGATGCTTCCTGTTCCCTGGAAAATAATTTTTTTTTGCCAAATTTTACTAAAGCAATCCTCTTAATCCTATTAAAAATTCTTTTATTTTTACAAACAAATCGAGCAGCAGATAAAAACAACTGGCAAAATTTCCCCGTGGTTTGAAAAATTCCATGTTGTCAGTTACCTCTGAAGCCAGGTAACAAGCAGCACTGGTTGTCAATTTAGATCCCTCTTTCCAACCTAGCATGCCTTTTGAATGTTACAAAAAACCTGGAGCTCATTATGAATTGCAGTTGACGCTTCTACCGAGAAACTTTAGGGGAAATGGACACATGGCACAATTTTACCTAAAAAGGGCATGGATTATTAAATTTTGTGCCAACAAGAAATCTTCAAATCTTCAAATCATTAGTTTGTTTACCTTCCTTCATATCAAGAAATATCATATTTAACCAAAGGAGCAACTACCTTTGCTTAATTCTTTATTGACTTTAAGCATGACGGTCTCTGAAATTCCTAAAGCGTTGCTTCCACTGGGCGGACTTTACCTGAAATTTCCTATCCAGATGCTATTGAGGAGTTGTGACACCCCCCAGTCGCGACGCCCCTGGTAATATTGAACCCCTTTCCTACTTACAACCCTGCATCCTTAGTAAATGTATATTCTGAAGCTACTTAGCACCCTTATTGCCCTCTCAAACCTACCTTTTTAAACAGTGAACGACAAGTGTCGTCTAACTACAGCGAAAAGATGCCCATCTCCATCGGGAGCATTCCCCATCATTGATACATTGTTTATGTTCTCCTTTTAGGTTCGGCCTTGTCGATTGCCACCCTCAACAAGTTAAGAGAGTATTTTGAGATGAAGCTTTAGAAATTGTCTATTGAATTTCTTTTGTTTGAAGTGAGAATCTTTTGAATTGTTGGTTTTTAGGAAAGATAATTTTTACTCGCTCATCCAAAAGGTTAAAGTAAACGTCCTTTTGTGGAATGGTAGCATGGATTGAGATAAATATTGCTTATTTTCTGTGTATTTTTCCTGTTTTGCGTTTAAAAGATATTTGATATTCCAGCCGGCCCGGCCCTCACCTCTTAGTGTTTCACAAAGAGAGGCTTTTGTCTGAAATTGAATGGCCAGTGTTTCAGCTAGAAGTTGCATTATTGGCGAAACCATAAACAGTATCAAATTTTAGTTTCCACCATTAGGTGCGGGAGGTTGCCGCCGTCCTTGTGGTATTTCGTTTTGTCGAATAGGACCGATTTAAGCAAAGTTATTTGACTTTTTCTTGGCTGAGAGCAAGGGGGATTCAGGTTTACATAAAGGCGTTCAGAAAAAACAATAGGCTTGTGATTCCCCGAGTTTCTGAAGACTTGGGTTTTTAGCGATTTACACAAAAAGTATCACAGTTACAAGTTTTTCAGTGCATTCATGAGATGGGCCGTTCGATCCTCGATTTTTTGAGCTATTTCCCGTAATTTTGGGACCTGTTTATGCTGAGTTATTGAGGATTTAGTGATTAAAACACGCAAAAAACGGTTTTTTGCAGTTTAAAAATCGAAAACAGCCGATAAAAATTCTGCGAGGCGTTCAAAATATCGCTGATTTTTTGCTCGATTTTTTGAGCTATTGCTTGTCTTGTTTGAAGCTTGCGTTACTGAATTAAATCGATTTTTCCGAAAAGTGCACTTTTCAAATTTTCTCAAATTTGCATCGCAGCGACCGATCAAGCTCAAACCGGTAACTGCGGCGGCGGTCAAAACTTTTTCTTTAAAAATGGTGTTTAATTGGAATTTAAAAACAGGAAAAGTCTGTGAACGGGTAAAAGAGCTTCCTGGATTCGATTTAAATGCATTTAAAGTTGCATTTCATGATTTTTGAAAGTTTCGATACATTTGCCCCAATTAAACACCGTTTTTCGTTTCCTTTTGTCGAATGGGACCGATTTTTGCAAAGTTATTCAACTTTTTCTTGGCTGAGAGCAAGGGGGATTCAGGTTTACATTAAGGCGTTCAGAAAAATCAAAAGGCTTGTGATTCCCCGAGTTTCTAAAGACTTGGGTTTTTAGCGATTTACACAAAAAGTATCACCGTTACAAGTTTTTTAGTGCATTCATGAGATGGACCGTTTGATGCTCGATTTTGTGAGCCGTTTCCCGTAATTTTAGGACCTGTCTTTGCCGAGTTATTGAGGATCTAATGATTAGAACAAAAGAAATGGAAATTCCCAAAGAACTGTGAAAATCAGACAGTTTTGAGAGTTTCTTGACCGAACAATCCGATCGGGCGACGGGCGGCTAGCAACATTGGGGCAAATGTATCGAAACTTTAAAAAATCACGAAATGAAACTTTAAATGCATTTAAATCGAATCCAGGAAGCTCTTTTCACCGTTCACAGACTTTTCCTGTTTTTAAATTCCAATTAAACACCGTTTTACGTTTCCTTTTGTCGAATGGGATCGATTTTTGCAAAGTTATTCGACTTTTTCTTGGCTGAGAGAAAGGGGGATTCAGGTTTACATAAAGGCGTTCAGAAAAAACAATAGGCTTCTGATTCCCCAAGTTTCTAAAGACTTGGGTTTTTAGCGATTTAAACAAAAAGTATCACAGTTACAAGTTTTTGAGCGCATCCATGAGATGGACCGTTTGATGCTCGATTTTGTGAGCCGTTTCCCGTAATTTTAGGACCTTTCTTTGCCGAGTTATTGAGGAACTAATGATTAGAACAAAAGAAATGGAAATTCCCAAAGAACTGTGAAAATCAGACAGTTTTAAGAGTTTTTTGACCGAACAAGCCGATCGGGCGACGGGCGGCTAGCAACATTGGGGCAAATGTATCGAAACTTTAAAAAATCATGAAATGCAACTTTAAATGCACTTAAATCGAATCAAGGAAGCTCTTTTACCCGTTCACAGACTTTTCCTGTTTTTAAATTCCAATTAAACACCATTTTTAAAGAAAAAGTTTTGACCGCCGCCGCAGTTACCGGTTTGAGCTTGATCGGTCGCTGCGATGCAAA